ATGAGTGGGCTGCAGAGCTACTAGATATGGTGGGAAGAGAAACATCCCTTCTTAAGGCAGGAATGTAACCCTGATCACCCAGCATACAGCCAAACACTGTACTGACTGAGCCATCCTGGTTAAGTACATTAATTATTTTAAAGGTCTCACATACAATAATACTTTTCTATATACATGCATGCCTTCACACATACACAATGATCATTACTGCCACCATAACAGTCTGTAAATAAATCCTATTCTGAACAGTTTATTCAAATTACATAAGCACAATCCTGTCATCAATATTACCTTACTTCTTGATACACACTGTCAGTACTTCATGTTGATTCTACAGTTAATTTCCTAATCTCATAAAAATATCTTCATTGGTTCAAAAGGTATTATGGACAGACGGATGGACACATGCTAACTCTCTCGCATCATTACACATGCACACACACGCGCACACACACACACAGTCATAATGGTATAAACAGTAATCAGACTGTCTTTCTTTACAACATAATAAAAGGTGACTAAATAATTATAATAACCTATAATCGATCCATCAAACAAGAAATAACATTCCAGTAGTCATAAAGATAAAGTTATCCATACACCATTCCATGAAGGTACAGAGATACAGTTCCACACAGTCTTGACCTCTGCCCTAGATGGAGGTGTGTGATCATGCAGTTACTTTACTCATACAGAAATAACTTGTAGTAGCTATACAAAGTATTTACTTTTCAAACTAACACTGACTATATGAATATGTACCTCATGAAAATAATTTGGGTCAGCTCCTTGCGAAAGAAGGCGAAGACTAGTTTCCAAGTTCGATGTACGAACACTTGAGTGAAGTTGCCTACTGAGGTCATCTTCCAGTAATAAAGTGTCATCTTTTCCTGGGCGAAATACAAATGCCAACATCTGATGTTTCGCTCGGATGAAATCTGCTTTGGTTGGGCTGAAATGCACATAATTTCACAATAGTAGTATCCTGAGTCACATTAAAATTAAACTGAGATGTGCTTGTAAATTTGATCATAAAAAATTTGCAAGCCTCTCAGTCCCATCTTTCTGCATTGTACAACTACTGTAAATTTATTGTCTCTTTCTCACGCTCAATGTAGTCTAGTTTCAAATTAGACCTACAGTCCTAAGTGGGATTTATTTGTCAGGTTCACAGCTAAACTTTTATGTACATTTCACATCTCTCTCATGGATGCTACATATTTTCTTCAGTTTTGCTTAACTTTTTTAACTTTCTTAACTTACTGTAGAGGATCCTTGCAGTGAGGTTTCCTTCGACCTGATTTTGAATGTGCTGGATCCAATAGAGAGTGTTCCCAAACACTGTTTACACCATTGTTGTTGAGAGTATGTACCATATGAAGTAATGTAGGACTCCATGATCCTTTCTTCAATGATTTAACTTGAGAAATGTGACGACCCAAACTTCTGTGAATGCTACAACACTCATCACATAATAGGATGCCCCTATTAACTGATGCCCATGATGGATCTGCAAGGAAAGGAATGTCAGTCCCTTAGAGTTAAACAGCTTATGGTATTATTATGAAAAGAATTATAAAATTATGAGAGTTGTTAAAATGAAACCTGCTTGTAGCAGTCCTAGTGAATATAGCCAGTTGAATTTGAGCACATGACAGTGTTTCTCAATTATAATGTTGTTTGAGTAGCAGAAGTTCCTTTGAGGGTGACAGGAAATAAACAATGAGGCATGTCAAGGTCAGGCCCAGCCCATGTTGTTGCCACCCCCAAGAATGTTCACAAAGTGGAGAAAGCTGTTCATACAGATACAGACAACATTTGAGAACTTGTAAAGTAATTCAATAATTGTATGTATACAATGATGCAATGCATGGGACATTGCAAGGTGTGTAACCAATAAATCCTGAAAATACCATACATTATAGTTTATGACACTACTGCTGAAACATCTGCAGCACTACCAGACAAAAGGTAATGCATTTTGAAGGGGAAATGAGATGTGCAGCCACCACTTTCAAGCCATGAAGAAAGTTGTAAGCATGCAGTGGAAACACCCATCCTCTCCCAGCCCTAACAAACTCAAGAAACCGCATATGGGGAAAGGTCATACTGACTGTTTTCTTCAATATAAATGGACTTCTGATAATAATATTCATCAAAGACCATGGCATCACCATCAGAGTACGGTGCTATGTGAAATCCTCTGGAGACCTTCATATCACAAACAAGAGAAAGCATTTCAACATACTCATAAGGGGTGTCACAGTGCTTCAGGGCATCCAGGACACACTGTGCTACTGCACTAGAAAGAGCTGGACTATCTCTATACAGCCATGTGATTTCCATGTTTGACACCCCCAAGAGAACATTAAAGGACTGTAGACTGAGGTAAGACAATGGTTTCAAGGCTGTGGTGATTCAATGATTCTAGCAACAGAACAGAAAGATACTATATGTGAAACAGCACCAATGGTTGGTGCATCAATGGAATGCCCTTTGCAACATATATACTATATCTGGGAACTGCTTTGAATGGCCTTTACTCTTTTACTCACAACAATTCCTAAATGAGTTTCATTTGTACAAACCCAATATCTATACAAAACAGAGTAAATTCCATTACCAGTTTTTCTGCCTATTAAGTTCTACAAAAACTTTCCAACATACAATGTACATTTAAAACGCACCTCTCAGCTAAAAAGAGATGTTTAAAACTATAATATAATACATAAAGGTTAGAAAACATAAAAGGTCTGGCTTTAGTAACAAACTCAGCACAAAACCAAATTGCATTCCTTTTATAATGTCATGAATGACACTGGACCAAGATGCTATAAGGGGACCTATTTATTTTATACACATTTTCATTTTATTTGTTATAAATGAGTCACAAATTAAAACTTTACTGCGAACATGATTTACTAATGGGCGAATCTACACAAATCCATACTTCAGACGGGTTTTGTCCCACTATGGCAAACATACACAAGTTTCCTACTGTTAATTAGAACTTACTGACTCACCCGATGATCCACAATCGGCGCACTCTTGGACATTCCTTAATTTTCCTCTGGACATCGAAACTGACATTATAACATTCCATTAACTCGGTCGTAATAAATTCCCACCCCATTTAACATACATACCACTGCAGGATAACTATAACAACTGCTTCTCCTAATCGCAACAAACTTAACTTCAACACAGACATAATCAGCACTGACCAACTCCACCAGAACCAACATCACAGATGATTCCAATACTAACCACAAAAGTCAATATAAACATATGAAGGCAATTATTCAATAAGTACAATACACCATATTTCATTCTAAAACTAAATTGCAACATTATGTTTTAATCATTAGGCACTATGTTACATTTTAGCTGTACTACAAAATATTTAAAATGGCAGTTGTTCTTGTAGCTAATAATGGTGGAAATAAGTAAGATATGTCAGAATAGAGCACTGCTTAGCAGTGCGCATTACGTCATCTTTGAGCATAATATTAAACTTAATTATCATGTTTATTCAAATGAGTTAAACAAATGTTTGAGTTACATTCTTTGCGAGTATTTGAGATGAACTAATTTTTTTTATTCCTTTATTTAACGTACTTATTAAAGTTGGATTTAAGGTGGAGGTGAGATGTTCCTTCGAAACATTGCTATCTACTTACATTAGTGATTTGTGTCATTTACTTAAAGTCCACACGATATCATTACTAACACAGAATTTTAACATCAGAAATTAAGTTAGTTTGACACTTCATTCGTAAACTTCTCCAGTACAAAGTTTGAATAAAACTGAGTTCTCCATTTTCAAAATGATTCTTACATACTCATTAATGACATTTAGAAGGATTTTATGGTAACTCATTTGACAGTAGCAACAATCCTTTTGCAGAGGAAAGTTAATAGATGCATAGAAAAGTGCCTACAAAACAGAAAACGTTTAAACAAAGTCAACAGTATAAGCATTCGGTACTAAGTATTAACATGTTTTCCACAGACCAATTTCAAATATAACAACCCACCAAAAAGGAGTCTACTGTGCCAGAATAAAATTATATAAAAACCTGTCATTTAAAGTTGAATGTTGAAATATTAACAATTAAATGTTAAGAAGCATTGAAATAATTACTTTTTGCCTACATCTTCTACTCTGTAAGGGAATTTATACGATAAACAAATTATAGTTGTGTGTCAGTAAATTTATACATATTTATATGTGTGTATATATGTTTCACAGAAGAAGGCAATTGCAAACCACTTCTGGATCATCTGCCAAGAACATATATGAACAGGTCCCAGTCCGAGAAAACGATGGAAGGATCCTGTTCATATGGACCTGTCATTAGACAGAATACTAAATAATAATAATATATGTTAAGAGCTTGTAATGTCATACAGTCTGTATGAAAATGTTATATTTTGATATTCTTATATTTGAGTATTGATATTGCTTTAGTAACAGAGTGTAACTCTGCTATGTAAATACCTGCCAATAACATGCTTGTTTATTTAATTTAGCCCATTAGTGAGATTTGTTATTAGAAAATGTTCTGGAATTGCGTTTAATTTGTATTTATGTGTTATAGATGTATTATACTGTTCTTTTACTTGTTCTACACATTGCTTCCTTGGGCCATTCTAACTCATTTTTCCATCCATCTACCAATTTTTCTGCTTTCATGTTCAAGAATTGAAGATGTCACACTGTACGTCACATCAGCTACGCATGAACACACCTTGCTTTCGTTCTTCATGAGGTTCCATAGAGATTATATATGTGGAGAATAATGTGGACTGCACTATTTCCAATGTGCCGTGACTCCCCCCCCCCCCCCATCTAACTCACTCACATATTAATGTGAACTCCTTGAGACTGTATTGGAGTGTGCAAAAGCAGAAAGGTTTCGTTTGATGGGGTGAAGAAAGGAATCGTATTGTCAGTTTAGTTCATATCTGGAGAAGTTCTTGTAAATATGCCTTCCATTAACTTTATAAAAAGTGAATATCCTTTACATTGGCTTGTTTGGAACAATGACTATAAAGACTTGGATAAGGAGTTATCTAAGAAAGTGGTTAGTATAAGTGTCAAAGGTATTTAAAAACGAGTTTCTTCTACATAAATCACCGTGACTGTAGTTACGGTTCAGTAGAAACATTATTCATACGAAATTTAACTTGTACGTTGGAATATCTGTGATTTTAAGGTGCTATTTCGCTTTTTTCGTAATATAAATTACACAATTGCAATTTTAAAATCGTGTTCATAAAGTAATGTTACAGATTTGAAGTAGCGCTTATCTTTCGATGTTATCGGCGTCATATAGTAAGAAGAGAAAGTACGTTTAGTAATGAAAAGAGGTGAGCATCTGTCTTCAGCACCTCATTTTCTTATGGTGGCTGATGAACTAGGTATGTTTGACTTCGTACATGTAAATTAGCGATACATTATGAAAAGTTCAAAAATAAATTGTTCAACTATATAAAGCGTGTCAGTAATCATGGATACGACACAAGAGCAGCCAGTAATAAAAACAGAACACCAGTATGTGTATTCTAAATGGGACTCTGAAATTTCCACTTTCCATGTTCCACATAAAAAAGCGTTTGAATATAAACTATGGCAAAGTTCATATTTATGTTAACTAACTCTATGAAGCAGAAGCCTCAGCTCTGATCAACTCCAGTCTGTTTATGGATGGTCTGTAATTAATTTTGTAAATCCTTTCAGCATGATAAAGAGAAACCTGATGCTCGAGGTCGTACACCTCTTATGCTAGCAGTCACCCTTGGCCACCTAGAGTCAGCTCGAATTCTTCTGCAGCATGCAACCAATGTTAATACTGAGAACAGAGAGGGATGGACAGGTAATGCATTTAATATGAGATTTCATGTTCTCACAGCAGTGACAATGTCCCTGTTAGACTTGTGGGTTTTGTTGCCACATGGACTTGTAAGTAGATATGACTGTTTTGGAGGAACATACTGCCTCAGTCTACATGGCTGGTGTCACAATCCAGAAGGACAGTGTCGATAATGTGTTTTATACTTGGCTGAGCTACATTAATAACATTTCTTACATCTATCATGTTTTGCTTGGATTTATTTTCTAGGCATGTGGAATTGAATGTTGAGAATGTTTTTGGTTGATGGTCCAGAAAGTATTATGTGAAACAGAATAATACTTACACAATAAATGTTTTTACTGCTTCTGTTACTATTTGAATTTAAATTATTGAAACTATGTAACTGGTGAGCACATAATATAACATGTTTTGCTACCATTTACATAACAGCTTCCTAAATTAGGTCACTTTTGCTCAATTCCTCCTGAGACATTCTGTGTATTTTGTTGTATGAACATTTGATTGGATGTCAACTGTATTGGCTGATTGTCTGGTCTCTAGCAATAGGCTACAGTTTTGACATTGTCAAAAAAATGTTGTCTCTTTGAAGTGATTGCTAACATACCTACTGGGCATTATACTGTGTATTTTAATCGTCTTGTTCTGTACAAACATTGGTTAAGATGTACTGATATTGTTTACTGATATCGAAAGTATTTTTTTTTTACTCACAGAGGAGGAAAACTAAATATGAGTCTCAGTTTTTTGTAGGCACCTATTCCTTTAATACAAGATTTGATTTTCAGACAATGCATTTGGAGAACTCTTATTATTATTTGATGGAAAACATTGCTGACATTAGGAACTAGTCGCACAATCTTGTGAACATGTAAATTAACATTTAGGTTCTGTAAAAGTCCAGGAGTTTCTTGATTACCTGATAGATCTTATGTGAACAGGATATGAGGATGGATTCAGGATTATGTGGTTGAACCTTTGTGTTCTCATACCAGATAGTTAGATAGTACCATATGTATTCCAGTCGTCCAGGAAGCTGTTGCCACAGGTGACCCAGAGTTGCTGCAGCTACTTCTTGAGAGAAGGGACTTTCAAAGATATTCAAGCAGAATTGGTGGTATTCCAGAACTACTACAGAAACTTAAAGAGGTAAGCATAGAACCTTGTATTATAATTTCACTCCCATTGAAATTATATGTTACCGTATTGAAGTCTATAAGTAAACACTAAATTCCATATGGATTCTACTAACACATGCTAATAACATGTTTTAAATTTTAATACATATTTTTTCATCTTCCTAGGCTCCTGATTTTTATGTGGAGATGAAGTGGGAATTCACAAGTTGGGGTAAGTTGCTTGGGTTAATTTTATTAGGACCTGTAAATGATGAAGTATCAGAAGAATGGAGAATGTTACATAATGACAAATTTCACACCTTGGATTCATCTTCTGATATTGTTAGGGTGATATAATTGATTGGGATGGGACATGTAGAAATCATGGCAGAAATAAGAAATACAGTTTTGGCTAGAAAATCTCAAAAGAAACTTTGGAAACCTAGATGTATATGGGAGGGTAATATTAAAATGAAATCGTGGAGATATAGGCAGTGAAGGTGTAGGTGTAGTTTTGATTGAACTTCCTCATGACAGGGTCCAGTAGCAGGCTTTTGTGAAAACTGTAATGAACATTTATGTTTCTTAATGTAATTTCTTGTTTCATGTCATGACCTTTGTAGGGTGTAATACAAACATGGCAACTGTATGAACTTCTGAGTTTGGGGTAACACTAGCTTTATTAAATGTGTGCCGTGAAATTTTGTATGATTGAAAGTCTTCGAAATGTATGCAGTTTTCTTTAGCTAATTATTTTGCAGAATATAAAATAATATTGAAGTCATGCTGAAATACATATTTGACTCTTTATTTGATGGTAATACGTAATCGACCATTTGATTCAGGCATGTTAAATTTTATGTGGAGATAAGTTATAAACATGTATTATAATGTATGAAATCCTTCATGTTGACAATTAACAAACATGGTGAAATCTGATATTATAGTTTAACATAGTTGGAATCATATTTATTAAAAATTACCTATAAAAATTAGTATCAGCCCTATGTTCCCAAGAGGAATAAAAGCAATTAACTAATAGAAATTAGTAACTTAATTGGAAAGATATTTAAATTCCTGCTAGCCTTGCCATGCCGATTGAAGAACCAATTAAAGGAAAGCAGACAAAAGTTTTTCCCATAACTTCTTTTTTAAACTCTTTTTGTTTAAAAGTGCTTTATTGCAATGTGTGCCCCACAGTACCCTTCCATTATGAATGTTTCAGTTCCACTGGTGTCCCGTATGTGCCCAAGTGACACATACAAAGTATACAAGCAGGGAGCCAATGTTCGAATTGACACTACGTTACTTGGTTTTGACCAAACGAACTGGCAGCGTGGAAACAGGAGTTATGTGTTTAAAGGGCAGTGTAAGTACACTAGAAAACTCCATTGCAAGATTTACTTTTTCTGCTGAAAGTTATAATTTATAATAAGTGTAACAGTATTGTGTATAAATGTATTATTTTGTCATATTATATATTACAGGTAGCCCTCGATTTACGCCGGGGATGCATACCGGCGTAAATGGAATCAGCGTTAATGTAAATCAATGAGAAGTCAATGACATGCGTTCCCAGCACCCAAACATTGAAGAGTAATATAGTGGCATTACATTTAAAGCTCTGAAATAACGTAAATAAAATAAAGGGAATTTAAAAAATTATATTTTATACACTTACAATTGACAGTTCGTTGGTCCATGCGATTGACTGCGTTTCTTTCATGTGATTGATGTGTACAGTCATCTCTACTGTTATGTGATAGTTGCATTCATGTAAGACACCGACCTATAGAAAATCCCGCAGAGATTAAATTGGTCCTTTGAAAGTTTAAAGCACCAGGAATGAAATTGCATAAGAGCAAATTCGCATATGCAAAAGTTTGCATTTCACAAACAGCTTTTACCGATTCATCGATCTCATTGGAGCAAATTCGCGTTAACGAAACATACGTAATTGCAGAGATGACTGTATTTATAATTTTTATTCAAAATCAGCGATGTAAGAATTATGATTTAGTATAAGCATCAGTACGAGAAACATTGTAAAATATTATAAATAATAGTAAAATATATTTTTTTCACCTTTTGACTTGCTGGTTTCAAAATCGGCGCAAATCGAGGGCTACCTGTACTTGTCGGTATATGTAAATATGTAGTGTACAATCATAGTTTGAATGAGGCCTGCATGTGCTGAAACTCCTTTGTTACAAGTTGCAGAACAGTCTGTTTCTAAACATTTTACAACTTTAATATCATCACAATTATGTACTTGATTGGGATGTTGATTTTGATATGGCTTCTTTGGGCATAGTGGTGCTATGGCACACACAACTCATGTCTCCATGGCACTTCTGTGCAACATATGCAGTGAACAACTAATTTCAAGAGATATCTGGCCGCTGAGATTGCTTGGTTTTGGTCCTCTGGATTTTTGTTGTGGGGTGTATCGGAGGTTTTAGTCTACAAAGATGATCCCAATATCCTAGTTTTTTTAAAACCATTGTATTCCTGGAGTTGGTTTCGTTTCCTTTATCAGATAATGGGATAAGATGAAATGTCCTTTTCTGAGTCCAGGGTTTCAGAATAGCTCTACCTAGGGGCTCAGCAGCAATTACAATAGTCTTAATGACCATGCATTAAAATTACCTTGTTTCCCATTGAATTATACTGGCTTATTCTCAAATGTCACTTGAGTTTGTATCTAATAATGACATCTTGGACTTACATCAGAGACTTATTTAGAAATGTTTTTATGATGTTTTGTACATAAGACTAAAACATGTTGATGTGTTGTGTAGGTGATTCAGCTTTGATAATGGAAGTGGACCATGAGACACAGCAAGTGTATGTGGAGCAGATGTGCAAGATATCGGCAGAAGACCTTCAATTTCTACAACCTAGTGAAGAAGCTATCTCATCCCGGCTCACCACACCCATTGTTACCACATATATTGATACTGACAAGATCAGCTTTGAAAGGTATTTCTTGGGGATTATAAGTAATTTCATAATTTGAGGAAGTAATTTCATAGTTTGTGATTTTTGAATTTCTTTGAAAAGTAGCATGGTTTTTAGATATAGATGTTGTGAATGGTAATTATGACACCCTTTCCTGCCTTCAATTTTAACAGGAATAAATCTGGTATATGGGGTTGGCGGTCAGACAAATGTGAACCAGTAAATGGGTATGAGTGTAAAGTGTTTGGAGCAAGTAATGTTGAGTTAGTAACAAAAACTCGGACTGAACACCTCACAGAGACAGACAAAGTGAAGGCGAGAGCACCAAAGACACCACTACAGTCATTCCTTGGTATTGCAGAGGTAGAGGAGAAACAGGCAGCTCTTCCAGAAACAAATAATGTAAGTGTTTAATCTGAATTATGTATACTGCCAAACTCTAGTAATAGAACCTGAAGGCTGAATGTTACTAATACCAAAGCCCACCATTGTCCATCCAGTTTGAACCCTAACAACTTGTTTCTCTGAAATCCATTTTAATGTTATCTTTCCATTTTCTTCTGAGTCTCTTAAATGACCAAGGTTCAAGAGTTTTCCTCAGTAAAATTCTTTATGCATTTATATTTATAATACATTTCATTGTAGTCTTTTAAATTTTATTATCTTTTTAAATAACGCATTTTATATCAGTTTCCATTGATGTTGACACACAAGTTTAGTCCTACGGGGCCAACTTGAATGTCTTATTTACCATTGTTAAACCATTTGATTTCCAATTTTTGTAATTTCTTCAACCAGCATCTTTTATTCTCATTTTTCACTTACTGCTGATGATTGATATAGGTTATGACTGCTACTTACTGCTTGTTTCATAATTCATAATCATTGTCTTATTTCAATTTGTATCTATGTAGATTATGAAGTGCCATTAAGTTAACTAATAAAGATTTATTCCAGGACTGAAAGAGAAATTGTGTTGCATTGTTTTATGTTTAAAGTGTATTTCATTGTGCAGTTCTTTTTAAATTACCCTATTCTTATTTCAGGAGGAATACAGTCATATAGGCAACCCATGTAATATTACACCTGAAGAATATTTTGATGATGAGATGGACCTCAAAGGAAGAGATATTGGCCGTCCAAAAGAAGTTAATACAAAAATACAGAAATTTAAGGTAATTTAAATTTTTAATTTTTTAAAAATTCTTTTAAATGATATACATTTTATATAAATGGGCTGTGTATTCAGTATAGTGACTGACTATGGACTGGACAATCAGGATTCGATTCCTGATGAGGGCCGAGAAATTTGTTCTAGCCTCTGCATCCATGCTGGCTCTGGGGTTTACCCAGCCTATTTTCCAGTGGGTAGTGGGTTTTCTTTCCCTGGGGATAAAGCATGGCGGAGGTGTGATACACATCACTTACCCCAATGTAGTGCTGAGGTTCAGAATGAGTAGGAGCTATACCTCGTCTCACCCTGAGCACGTGTATGGCACATAGTGCGATAGATTCCTTTTTGTTTCTCCCCTCCCTCTAGCATGTGTTACTTTCAGAAATGTGTGAAATCCCCACAGGGAGACTGAAGATATTGATTGGCGGTAGTGGTCATATGGCTCAGGATAACTCACTCGGTAAAGTGGCTGACTGTAGGTTCAACAACTAAGATTGGATTCCCAGGAGGGGCAGGATTTTTCTGTTCTTCACTATTTTCAGTCTTGTTCTGGGACGCGTACAGTCATCTATAGAGTAGGTTCCAAATACTCTTTTCGTGGAGGTAAAATGGTCAGCTGACGCATGTCTATCTAGTTCCGATGTCTGGAGACTGAAGATGGTGGTTCTGTTGTCATAAGAGTTGGTACAGTTTAGTCAGTAAAGTGACTGATTATGGGTAGGATAACTGGTGTCTGATTCCCAGCAGGGTGGTCACTTTCAGACTGAATTAGAATCTACCCGGTCTCCTATGCAGTGGATACTGAATCCATTTAGATTCTGATGAAATTTAATACAAGGCAACCCAAGAAATATATATTTGGCATTATCATTCACTTAGGTACGACACTTTATGTAAATTAACTTTCATATTTATTTCTGTACTGTGAACAAATTTCATCAGGTGCAAACATAATGTGAAGAAATTATCTGTTTATCCTCATGGCCCATCTCTGAAACTACTGAATGGGTTAACACCAGAATCCAAAGTCAGGCAAATTTAATTTTTGTCCCTGTTTGTGCAGTATAATCCATACTGAAAATGAAGCTCAAATCAGAGTTTGTCTGTTTTGTAGAAGAACAATTCTGTGTGTAAATAAATTGGTACATGGTATCAAATGTTGTTCTCATTAAAATAATAACATTTTTATTTGAAACATTTTTTTCCGTGGTGTACATGTAAGAATGTAGAACAGAAAAATTACGTACTATTCAGTAGTAGTCCAATTAACAATTTCAAGTGTTAATTTATGGTGTAGGACTTCAGTTCAAGGATGATTATGAATGATATTTTAATATTTTAAATTTGTTTTCAAAGTAGGAAAATTTTCTAGTTAGATGTTGGCCTGTTTGTAATGCCTTGTATCAGAAATTTAATTGAAGATAAGGTGTCCTCTTATACTTGAATTGATTTATCAACAATAAGCTTGTACACTACAAAGCTTTAGCTTTCACTTCTGCCATTTGGGTTCAGCACAGGTTGGATAACATTAAGTAAAAAAATAAATTTATTTGAATTTGCAGTAAAGGAACATTGAGATCTTATAGGAATGCATATTCATGAAGTGTGAATTTGGAAAGTGTGTACTTCATTGAAAGTTATGCTGTGATTTCAGGCTACACTTTGGCTGTGTGAAAACTACCCATTGAGTTTGCAGGAACAAATAATGCCAATTGTAGATTTAATGGCAATTTCGAGTTCCCACTTTGCCAAACTCAAAGATTTTATTCAGATGCAGCTACCAGCAGGTTTTCCAGTAAAAATAGGTAAGAAATTACTCTGTACAGACACCACAATCCATATTGTCTTAATCAAATTGTATGATTGATATACAGTGAAACCTCTATCCATCGTTCCCGGAACTATCGTTTTCCCGGATGCATCGTCCGTTTTGTTCGGTCCCGAATACATCCCATATAAAATAATGTTACATTTTCCCGCTTCTATCGTTCCTCGAACTATCGTTTTATCGCATCGATCGTTCAAAAATCTTAGTCCCGGCCAACAATTTTCCCGCAATGATCGTTTCTGAGAAATTGTAACGAAATTTACGTGATATTTTTAGAATTTAATTCCGAAAGACGCACAATGTTTTTGGAATAAACAGTAGCGGTAACCTGTTATGTCGCCCAACCAGCACA